TGGCTACCAGTGGCTGAGAAGGGTAGTGGGGCAGAGGTAGGAAAGTATTAGAGATTGTTAATGGACACAAAAAATAATTAGGAAAAATAAGATCTAGTATTTGATAGCAAAACAGTCAACGATAATTTAATTGTACATGTAAAAATAACTAAAAGAGCATTATTTAATTGTTTGTAACACAGAGAAAGGATAAATATTTGAGGTGATGGATACCCCATTTATCCTGATGTGATTATTACATATTGTATGCCTGTATCTCATATATCCCATAAATATATACATGTACTATATACCCACAAAAATTAAAAATTAAAGAAAAAGAAAAAACATAAAAGAAAATCTAATATGCACTAGGTAGCATCATGCCTTTATTAAAATATTTACATATATTAAAATAATAGGATTTTCAGAACCTAAAATTCTCTTTTTTCTCTTGTTAGAATTGCCATGTCTGGTGTAAAATAGGGAGAGACCGATTATTTATTTTTACTTCATTAGTCAAGTGACATTGTATCTGAAATACATTTAATTTTGTCAGGGATTAATGTCCACTGGATTAACAATGTTTGAATCAGTCTAACAGATGTTAAATGTTCCACACCAAAGCAAAATCAAGCAGTAATCTTATACATCCAAAACTGTCACCACATCCTTAGAATTTTGCTGGACATATATGTATAATCTGTACCTTATAACCTTTTACTAATAGTGACGTTTTCCGTTGCCATGCAACAGTTCAAAACTTACTACCCAGTTGGATCTTTTTACTTAATGTTTTCATGACCTTTTAGGAGGTTAGTTACTTGGATATAATTGGATTTTTATGACATGGCATTTTAAGCTCTTATAATCTGCTAAACAACCCTTCTAAATAGGTGAAACATGCACACATTTAAGTCAGTTACCTAGTGGGAATTAATTTAATTAAGCCAGGACTGTTCTACTGGATTGTCATTTGTTTCTTGACTACAAACTATCCCTACCCCTGAGAAGCATTCTCTCAAATGTTTGCTCTTAAGCTGAAAGGAAACCAGGCAAGAGAATGTAGATAGCTCAGCCGAAACCAGCAACTATTGATTGTGTCTTATAATCACTAACACTGAACTATGTAACTATGATGGTCAAGTGGGTCTCCTTTGAATATGAAAGTTTATAAAATGTGAAGGCTAGCAAGAAAAGTCCACCTACTACTCCTAGAGTTTCATAGGCCACAAATATGAAACAACACCCCAAATTTGAACCAGGTCAAGAACTTCCAAGGCAGTAGTGAGGTGAGGACCATAATTTCTCTTTAGAAATTACTTCCTTTTGAAATTATTTCCTTTCTTTAGATTTTCTGAAAAATGGCCATTCATTTATTTGCCTTGGGTGTACACTTAAGCATTGTTGCTTTGCCTTGAGTTTGCTGGAGCAATTATCATCGTGGGCTTCTCATCTATAACTAGAGACAAGGAGTTTGACTGGTTGGCAATTATTATAGTCAAATAGTGATCTGATTAAATGTACTTCATTGATGCATGTTCAAGAATCTAACAATTTTTGTAATAAAAAAGTCATGTTTTATATATCCATATATGTTTACATTCTTTAGCACAGCCTGTATTCCTTCCTTGATTATAGGTGAACAACTAAAGTAATTATCCAAGATTAACATTTGAGATAGCTCTCATTCATCAGGCAGATGAGTATATATGGGGTACAGCTATGTTTCACGTAGCTTATCAAGTCAGTATTGTAACAGAGAGAAAACTTCTATCCATTACTGCTACCATTATTCTGGCCCAAGGTACTCATGTACCCTTGGGAGGGCTTCTATTTTGGCATTCTCAAGGCAACAAAAAGGTGGCTTTGAGCCAACTCTAAAAGCTATGTCAAAAGACAAAAACAAATAGTTACATTAAAATTAAGAAGCTCCAAAGAGCTGTGATTTAGTAATGGAAATTATTGCTAACTGGCACAACCCAGTTTATGGTTAGGAAATTTCACCTTGGTCTTGATTAATACTCCTGTCAGAGACTTAAAAATATATGAGAATTTTACTCCCCTCAGTCCTCTCCCCTTCAATATTTGAACTCAACTGTGTTACTGATTCTAAAAGGGCAGGTTTTGTCCTTATCTTATGATTTTCCTAAACATATTGACCCTTTAAATGAGAAATAATTCTGAATAACGACTTGCTTGCTTTTAACCTTCATTTCCTGGGAAGAGTCAATCACAGAGAATCTGATGGACATGATCCAACAGTCTATGTAGAACTCAAATACCAGCCTCCAACTCTACAAGGAGTTCAGTTTAGTTGCTCCATTTAGGCTGTGTTATGATACTGACTCTTCGTAGTAAGGAAGAAAGTACGAGGGTTCACCATGATATTCCTAAGGAAGGGCTGCCTATACTCTTGCTAACTAACTTTCTTAACCATTTTTGTTGTCGTTGTTGTTGTTGTTGTTGCTGGCAGCTTTAAGATAGAAACCTGTAAAAAAAATTCTTTCCAGAATCACTAGCACTTGGGGGCAGGTCTAATCAGGTAGATGACTTCTTTGAATTCAACAAGTATTTAGTGAGCAGCTGTAGAGTATTTAACCAATATTGTATGAGCTATTATCAGATAACCCAAAAAGTATGACTCATTCTTTACTCTTAAATGTGTTTATCTCTTCTGTGGTAGGAAGAGGGTGCTGAGAGAACAAGATGTATATCTGTGTAATATAAAAACAATTCAAGATAACTGAGCACAAAGAGCTGAATTGAATTAGCTTGTTGGCTGGCATAGTTTTAGTTTTCATGGATATGGTAGATCTTGAGATGAGTTTCAAAGGTTGGGTAAGATTTGGATACACAACAAGAAGGACAGAGGGTATTTAAGCAGAAAACAATGTGAGTAAAATCGTAGAGGCAGGAATAACATGGTGTGCGTCTCAAAGAGTGAAATCTGCTGTGGCTGAAGGAGAGACCATACTAGGAAATAGAAAATATTTTTATGTTTATGGAAGCATTTAAAGGTTTTATATAGAATATGTAGATGTAGATACATGAATCTATATCTATTTTCAAATATTATCTACATCTGTATATATGCACTATTTTAAATTCTGTTTTAAAAGGTATGATATTTAAATGTACTATGTGGTAATATTGACTTTACAGATTTACCCATCTACTCATGCCTTCATATATGAGACTCTATTTTGTTTAGGAGATAATCATTATTTACTCAGGAAAGCAACTCCAAAGGGTACATGGACAAGACAACTAACATTGTGATTGTGTATTTATCTAGACTTAACAAAAATGTGATGATACTACACTATTTTGTATTTCACTTTTTTTCACTGACCAATATTTTATAAACTGTTTTTTGTCACAGATGTAGTTATGAAAATTTATCTTTGCTTACTTTGCAATTCTTCCATTCACCTTAGAATGTATAGTTTTTTTAAGGCCTGAAATCAGGGGACAGGTTGAAAAGGAAGTATCAGTAGTCAAATTCAAAGTCAATTTACCATCTATATGCTTAATAATAAATGTGTTTTTAGGGTACTTGGTTTCACATGCAATATCAATAGTAGTGTGGAGTGTAACCTAAGTTATTGTCCTCCAGGCAGTGTGTTGGGAGCCATGGTGCCCAATATATTGAAAGGACTGATACCCAAGAACAGGAAGCCAAAAGAATGTGTCTTATTTAGGACACTGTTCATAGTAATTTGAGTCTAGGATTGCAAATGTCTCTGAAGTCTCTGTGTTCTCTACAGTTGGCCCTATGCTACTCTTTCCCATGTGAGATTGATTAAATATTCACTTTAAATAATAAATGGGGGAAGTCAAATAAGAAATACATCAAAACACATTGAATCGAGTAGGTTTATTTAATCTACCTTTAAGATATACTAACAAATCAGGCTGACTTTCACTGAGAATATGCAAGTCCAACTGGAAGTAATTCTTCTATAGTCAGTATAATTAAAAAATCAGTATGATTTTGATATATGCAGATATATCTGCACTCCTATGTTGACTGCAGCACTATTCACCGCAACCAAAATATGGAATCAACCTAAGTGTCCATCAATGGATAAGTGGATAAAGAAAATATGGTATGTTTATATATAATATATATAATGGAGTATATTCAGCCATAAAAAAAGAATAAAATCCTGTCAATTGAGGCAACACGGATAAGCCTGGAGGACATTATGTAAAGTGAAATAAGCCCCGCACAGAAAGATAGATATCACATGTTCTCACTTTATGGGGGAGCTAAATATATTAATGTCATATAATGTCATGAAAGTGGAAAGTAGAATAGTGATAACAAGGGGCTGAGAAGGGAGGGGGAAGAAGATATAGAGAGAGATTGGTTAACAATTCAAAGCTACTGCTATATAGGAGAAATAAGTTCCAGTGTTCCATAACATTGTAGGGACACTATAGCTAATAGATATTTACTCTATATTTTCAAATATCTATAAGAGAGGATTTGAAATGTTCCCACCATGAAGAAATGATTATTGTTTGAGGTATTAGATATGCTAATTATCCTGATTTGATTATTACAGATTGTATGTAGGTAGTGAAACACCACACTAAAACCCATAAATAAGTACTTTTATTATGTGTAAATTAATTTTTTAATTTTAAAAATTAAAAAATATAATTCACATTTTCTTTTCTCCCCACAGGATATATATGAATAAGCCATGTGGTTTAATTTACTTATTTGACTGTTTTATTTAAGTGCCTATATTCAAGAATATTTATGTTATTCAAGTTTTGCATTCATTCGAACACTTAGATTTGAGTTAAATGAAGTTGAAAATGCCATTGCAATGTTGATTTTTCTTTAAATTTTTCCTATATTAAAAAATGTATCTCTGTAAAAGAATTGGATTGATTAATGTTATGACTTTAATAGGTTATCTTACTTTGTTTTGCTGCACATAAAAATATCTGTGAATTTAGAAAAACTTAATATTGCTTACAACTGTGATTGATGTTTGCTTCAGGTGATAATTCAGGATGATGGTCCTGAAAAATTGGACCCCAGATATTTTGGAGAGTTGCTGGCTGATCTGAGCCGTAAGAATACGGATCTATATCACTGCTTATTGGAACATTTGCAGAGAATTGGAGGAAGGTACTGTAAACATATTATTTCTCTTGATGTTGTAGCTATCAAACATTTTACAACATTCTAGTATTTTAAAAATAGACTTTTTACCAGCGGTTTTAGGTTCACAGCAAAACTCTAATACTTTCAATAAGTAAAAGGGCAGATATGAGAAAATGTCTCATTTTAAGAGTTAATGTAGATTATGAAAATAATCAGACAAAAAACAAAAAACACAAACCCTTTTAGGATTGGTAAAGAATTCCATGTACCTTCTTTTGTAGTGTACTTTCATGGCAGAAGCAAATTCTTGGGCAAGGAGATCAAAAATGCATGGCATGCTATAACTTGTTTTAAGATATTACACTGATGATATTCGGTACGGTCCTATTGCCAGCATACTAACGTTTGTCTTCTACTTATGTGTGTTCAACATACAGAGGCCAAGGATTAACATATATTTGATATGTCATATATTATATATAAACTTTATATATTGTTATTATCTATTATATTATATTAAATATATATCAATAGATATAAATATAAACATAATTTTATATAACACAATATACAATTATATAGATTTAGACAGATATGCATTAAAAATTTGTCAACTGTTCATGTGTAGATGAGAGCATATTTTGTCATGAAATGAATTCTATATGCTGCACTCCAAAAGATGCCTTCTATTATATAGTTACAGCATATATGTGTTCATCTGTCAGGCAAAATCTAGAAAAGCTCCACAAATTCAAAATAATCTGGAAGATAAAGGAAAGTCAATAGAATTTTTTCTGATTCAAAATTTTCACTAACTAGATTCTTTTACTTCTTAGATTTTAAATAATATATAATTTTATATAATATATAGGTTAATATAAATGGGATTACACCATATATACTATCTTGTATGTTTTCTCACTCCAATATATGTAGTATATATTTTTCCATGTCAGTATTTTGATGTCTGTAATGTATACTCTCTTAATCTCTTGTACATCTTGTATTTTCTCCATTTATTAGCTACCTCCCACCTGACTTTTATTGCTTTCAAATTAATGACTATAACCATTGTCTTACTATCACTTTCAACTGCTTTGCCTCCTAATCGAACTGCCCTTCCCACTTAGCAAAACCCCAATTCTGGATTACTCTAGCTCTCTGCCTTATTTCTCTCTCTCTCTCTCTTTTTTAACCACCACCACCACCTCCTTCATCCAACATTCACTACCTTTAGAATGCAGAGGGCTCCATGAAGGCTGTTTTATTTACCCTGGTGTCCTTGGTGCATAGTGTGGTGGCTGGTTTACTGTGGCGCTCAATGGGTATGTATTGAATGAACAAATGCCTTCTTTACTGCTATGCATATGCAGCTTGTCACTGCTAGAGAAAAGCAGAGCCATCTATTTGAACTGGTGCCATTATAAATGCATTTCTCTCTTCAACTTGGTCTTCATCATAGTTTTATCCTAATGAACACCATCTCCTATTACCCAGCACACAAAAAAGTCTCCCTCTTTCACATAACCCAAACAACTATTTCATCTCTTTGCACATGTTCATTACTTTAAAATATTTCCCTTAATGTAATAGTCAGCTATATGTTGAGCATCCACCATGTGCCAGGCGTTATCTATATTATCTAATTTGCATGGTAACCTTACAGAGTTTCAGATGAAGACCCAAAAAGAATAAGTTATTAAGATCACACAGCTACTAAGTGCCTGAGATGGATTCAAACATTTTTGAGTACTCCTTTACCTATAATCTATGAACGTTTCTGCAAAGCCTTCCCCAAATCTTCAGTTTAGTCTAGATGCTCTACTTCTGTGCATTAACCATGCCCTGCAAATATTTCTATCAAAGTGTCACACTGTAAAATTCAGAGGTAGATAGGACATAATCTTAAGATCTGGAGTTTGTATCCTGGTTTCATGTCCCAGTTTTATTTTTTTTACATACTAAATGTATAGTATCATGGTGGCGCATGCCTGTAATCCCAGCTACTCAGGAGGCTGAGGCAGGAGAATTGCCTGAACCCAGGAGGCGGAGGTTGCGGTGAGCCGAGATCACGCCATTGCACTCCAGCCTGGGTAATAAGAGCGAAACTCCATCTCAAAA